ATGCACTTTTGCCATCTCATAGGTAGTTCATTGAGCCCTTTACTAAAAAAACAGTCGGACGGGAATCAATAAAATCTGTGAAGGCGATTTGGACTGCCCCATAAGAGTTAATTTTTTTCCCTTGCAAGAAGTTGTCCAAATTTCGAAAAAAATGGTAATCTGTTGGAGCAAGGTCCGGGGAGTACGGATGATGTCTTAGACATTCCAATTGAAGCTCTTCTAATTTGGTAGCCGTCTGTTGTGCAGTGTGTGGTCTAGCGTTGTTGTGAAGTAGCAGTGGCGTGGAGCGATTGACCAGCCATGGTTGTTTAGCCGCTAGCTTTTCCATCATGGTTTGCAATTGCTGACAATAGACATCAGACGTCATAGTCTGATGTCTATTCTCAGCATAGTCATAGGCCAGATTTGAGAAAACTGCAATGAACCGGCACTAGTCCATCAAACGCTTACAAGTAACTTTTTTGGGGTTAATTTTCGCTTGGGGGAGGATTTGGCTGCACTGAGCGCTTCCGATTATCGTAAAGAATCCATTTTTCATCACAGGTAATGATTCGGTTTAAACTACCTTCATTATTGTGCCGGTTCAGTAATGTAACGCAGCAGTCGACGCGCGTTTGCCGGTTTGCTTCAGTCAATTCGTGAGGTACCCATCTTTCAAGCTTTTTAATCTTCCCAATTTGCTTCAAGTGAATTAAAACAGTTTTATCACTAACACTGCAGCCTGCAGCTAACTCGGACGTGGTTTGCCATGGATCCGCTTCCACAATAGCCTTCAATACTTTATTATCAACTTGGGTCTCAGGCCGTCCACGGGGCTTGTTCTGCAGGTCGCAATTTCCAGAACGAAAACGTTGGAACCAAAAACGAAACTGTGTTTTCTTTTGCAACATGACCGCTTTACACATCATTCACCCTTCGAGTCGTTTTCGCAGCACTAGTGCCACGGTGGAACTCGTACTCGTAAATAATGCGATACTTTGAGTTTTCCATTTTGTAAAATGAGTGACGCAAACAGAAAAAAACAAATGAATGACGGTCATCGAAGCACAAATACATGAGTAAATAGCTGTACAAATTTGAATTTGGAATTCCTTACCAAAGAGGAGAACATCGTGATTAAAGTGGCCAGTACGAAATACGCCAATTTCATATGTAAGGACCTAATATGAATTCATTTAAGTGGCGGTTAAATAGCAAGGCCACATCTTAGTTAACATCAGGTGGGATTATCGTCTAGCCAGTTCTGTTTAAAAAAAATGATATGAAGTACTTAAACATAAATATAAAAACAGAAGTAAAATAAATCTAAAAAGTTTACTTCCTGTGGCAGTTTACCTTTAATACTCACAAAGTTTCCTCACTGTATTGCGATACTTTGAGTGAAGAAAGCACCAGCTCTGGGGTCACCGGTCAGTATCGGTTCAGGCAGTTATCGGATCAGTTCTACCACCAATTTAACATACATCTTTAAATAGCGCCTGTGCTTCAAGTGCACAGACTCGACGAAAATACCAAAAAGAAAAACAAAATATACATGAGAGGATGTTCCCGTGAAGTAAAGAGGTCTGTTAGACAAAATATTATTATAATATATCAAAAACATGTGCCATTAAAATCAATATATCCATTAAATCCTTTCCATAATTTAATTTTACGCAAGAATAAGAGAGAAAACAATAAAAAAGATCATTACGAAATATTATCATATAAATTGAAATCGCTTTGGCTAAAGAAAACTGTGGAGACGGCTTTCATTAAAATCGCTGCCAATTAAGAGTTGGCTCGCCTCCATGTCTATTTTGTGTTTAAATGTAAACTTTTATTGCTTAAATATGAATAAAGAAATCTGTTTTAAATCGTTTGAGTGCTTTTAGTTTTATTTTAAAAGTTCGTGACTTTGATCACAATTTAACACTTACATGTGTTTATTTATTGTAAACTTAACCTACATAGTATAATAATAATCAAAATATATAATTATTTATAATTAAAAATTAATAAATAGAAAATATAACAAAGTTTGATCCCTGTAGAATTATCCCTTGGACGCTGTATATTTCCTAGCTGTACTGCGATACTTATTCGTTGAGCGAGGTATGTGCCTGCTCTGTGGTCACTGGTACCAACTTAAATCTTTAATTAGCGCCTGTGCGCTTGAACCCCACAGCCCAAGAGTCTCTACTCCAAAGGGAACAAAATCGAAGTTGGAGGAAAGACTCTTATATTTGAGCCGTTTATAATTTTCCGCCTTCTCCCTGACGCGGGGCAAATATTTTTTTATTTAATTATTTGAGATATTAATTCTATGATGATATGAGACCTATCGCCATCTGTCCTCCTGCAGCCGGTACGTGTTTACAAATACAAATTTTAAAAACCTTCTCCGTTACAACTTATAAGTTTCCGATTAACATAGGATTAGTCAGTCACTTACACTACATTTAATGATCTTAAGCAAACGATTCCCATCAGTGAGGTCATAGATTCGAATCCCGACTGGGCACCAATAGACTTGCTTATGTGCAAATTCAACACTCGCTACGGAGAAGGAAAATATTTTGAGGAAATAGTTATATCTCAAACCCAATAAAGTCGACATGTGTCAGACACAGAAGGCTTATCACCGAATAGTCTTTTAAGAAAAATAGATCTCGAGACAGATACATATATCTGAGACTAGTCTTACATATTTTTACTCTGAAATTAATAGTTGCAATGCATAAAACATTTGTGAAACATGAAAAACTAAGTAAAGACATTATATGGTAATAAAAATAGACTAATTAGGTTATTATCTACTCCAACGTTTTTTGTTCCGAATAAGTGAAATAGGTGTGGACTATGATTTGTGGCTGTGTGACATCTGATTTCAGTCAAGCGTCACCGCGTCAGGGGTGGGGTTATTTATTACCTCTCATATTATCCGGTTGGCCTTATGGTTTATTTTTATATTAACTTGTATGAGGATAACATTGAGAACCCCTTTACAAAACCGCGGCGTAATTCAGTAAAACCCGAGTTATGTAACCTAACCTTAGTTACGTTATATAATAAAAAAAACGCAAACGAAATTTAAACACTAATATTACACTTGTAGCGAATAAATTGTAAAACGGCAGTTTTGGTAGTAATACCAACAGCCGCCACCGAACCTAACTCCCGTTTGAGTAAATAAATATATTACTTAACACTTAAAAATACGAGTATCCTAGAGTATGCTCGTATATCGTACACTCAGAAATACAAAGGCATAGTTCGAAAGAAGAATTTTGGGAATTCGCAATTTTAGATTTTGATTATATATAGATTATAGACTTCGGCTTGTTTTTAAAATAAAATGCTTTCATTAAAGTCATGAATATGAAACTTTGCAGATTTGGTATTTGATAATGTCAAATGTTTTGAAATATGTTTCGATTTTAATAAATTACGATTGATTAAAAAAATATTTCAGTTGGGGACCATATAGTATTCAAAATATGACAAAAATTCTAACGTTAGCGTAAGGTTCAGAATTAGTTCGGAATCAGTACTTGTAATGACTGCAGTTTTTGGCAATATACAACCTACAAATTAGCTTCATTTTGTATAATATATCTAATCAATAACTAATTATTTATTGCCAAAACAGGTTCCATTACAAGCACGTATCCCAGGGTCCAGATGTAGTTAGAACTGTAATTCAGGAGCCTGTCACTGTTGCATGTATTGTGTAGCAATATCGAGAATTAATTATGATTATTAAATTAAATTAAAAAAATATTAATGAGACAAATTAAATTAAATTGTCATAACTTTATATAAATATACAATGCTTATTCTACTTAAATTTAGTAGATATTCTACATAAACTTGTAATTAGATAATTTACAAACTTATCGTGAAAAAAATGAAAAAAAAAGATCTATTGTCGACAGATGAAAATATACCATACGATATATTTTAAAAAGCGATGTGTTGCAAATAAAATGTCAACACAACATAAGCTCTTACACAGCAGTAGCTAAAGAGAAAAATCTTAAAACATCCTAAGGCTATGTGATTAATGACAGACATCACAAATACAACATATATTATAAATACTAGTTATATACAAGTGTCTTTAATTTGTTTCACAGATAGGAAAAGTAAGAAACACAAAGATAATAGGCACGAAAATGATTTTAAAAAGCGCTTGAATGTAGCGAAACTCGAAAACATATCAACAATGAAAAAGTAATTGGGAATTATACATTCTAAGTATGGAAGACGAAACCCGATGTTAGTAAGCGTAATAAGTAAATCAAATATGTAGCGAAGGAATATATCTAAAAAGAAAAGTTATTAATTAAACAAATGATACTGGGGTGTTATTAGTTAAATAGTACTAGCTTCCTCTTACAAAAACCGATCAAAGTTTTTTAAATGTATTTTTTATGTCCAAAGAATTCCCATGCGCACTGTCGTACAAATAAATCACTTAGTTAATTACCTAAACATCCTATTTCTTCAAATTCTTGCGTTGATTTACTTTTGTTATTGACTTTTTAAAGTAAATAAGAACTGGCGTTCTTTGGAAGTCCGAGTGAAAATATATTTTATTGTAAATCAGTGTTACGCTGCTTTAATTTATTTAAATAAAACCTTAACATAACGATCAAATATACAGTATTTATAATTTTTTTAAACTACATAGTAATAAGTAAATATAAATAAAAAGAAAATTAAAAGTTTGTGTGTTCAGTTATGTCAAATTATCTATACCATGTGACGAAAAGAGACAGATGTATACTTCAAAACAGTGCAATTAGACTAATCTAGTTTTTATTAGGAGTTAGAGGTTAATATTTATTATATTATCAGAAACAAACTCACTACAATTTTTAACTATTTAATAAACAAAAGCCAATACAAAAGTAAAAATCACAATAGCAGAAGCTGCAACATTCGCAGCGCCCGAGTAATAATAGCCCAAGTTTCGTGTAGTTTTATCCATTTCAATGAGGCACGCCATAATTTCCTCATTGTTGGGAATAATTTGATTCGGGGGGGAGAAGAAAGCCATAGTCGCCAACGTCCCGAAGTTCGAAAAGGTACACTATAGGTATTTTCGCAACTCCTTTTGCCCAGTCGAAGCTTGAACCGGTTACTGCATCTGGAATATCCATCCATTAATTTATGAATGTGTTAGAAATTTAATATTTTAATTAAAAGCTTATTGGAAGAAAATTATTTAATTTCGCTTCGTGAAGATCTCGCAACAGTGTTTACCATATTGACTTTAATTTCAACTATGTTCAATGCATACTAAGTTGTTTTTTATTAATATAAAGACTTAAAAAAACTTTTGATTAACAAAAATTTAAATTGATTAATTCGGTTACCATATTATGTTTGTGAGTTTTTACTGATATTAGGAAAAATCTTTATAGTATATAATATATATAAAAAATTATCTGAGATAACATAGAAAATATACTTACAAAGAATATCTAGGGAAGTTCCCGCTACGTACTGAGTGCCATATTTTTCCGTTAATTTGTCGAGACCACGTTGCGCTATTTCATACTAGAAAAATTTAAATGTAAAGTGTACAACTGTACAGTATAATATATTGCACATAAAATATGTTGCACTAAAATATTTTAATCAAACTAATAGTTTAACTAATTCAAACTAATCAAACACATAGTTTAGTTAAACGTATGATGCGCTAACCCGGTCCAGAGTTCAATCCCTGGCAGTGCATTCCCCGGCTGTGCGGTGAAGTAATCATAATCTAGGCCAAGTTGCACAGGCGATAAAAAATCTTCATATATATATATATTTTCGTCAAATATTTTACAAAATGTAAAGTTACCCCATGCTAATCTTTGTATGTAATTAATAACTTTTCCACAGTATCTTAACATCGCATGCAAGTCATATTATGCCACTAACATAGTAACGAATTTTTTAATTAAAAAAAAATAGTAATTTAATTCAGACTATTTGGAGGCTTTTAATATAGAGTCCTTACCGAACTTGAACAATATTAGAGTTAATAATAGAATCGTATAAAGTTATGTTAGTTGAAATATTATAAGATGAATTTATTAATTAATTTAAATATTATAAGATGAATTTATTAATTAATTTAAATATTATAAGATGAATAATTAGATTATAAGTAAAGTAAGGAATTAAAGGCTTTTTTTTAAATTCAGTTCATCAATTCATATTTTCTTAAATGGCCTGATATTGATTAGGTCTTAGGTCCTATGTTAGCATAGATTAGTAAATAAATTATTAAATTATTATGACGTTATGATAATTAATATGACATTTGCATGCCTATTTGGTTGAGAGTTTTTTTTATAATTAATTAATCTGTATCACTTTTTTGGAAATAAACGATTTATTATTAAGCTATACAACGAAATAAAGGTATAAGAGGGTGTACACATATATTATCTAACTATTATACTTACTAAATCACCATAATTCTCCACTTGCAAAACATCAGCTCCACCTACATGGCTGTATGGAATCAAGACCATTTGAGAATAAGAGTGAAACGCAATATAATAAATCATATTCCCAGTTCCCTTAATCTTTTGCACATAATTCATAATTGCTTGTGTTTCTGGTTCTGATCCAGCCGAAGGACCAGCGAATGTCTGGTCACAAGGATTCGAAGATGCACCCACGGCTTAAAAAATAATTATTTATGGTTATTACAGAAAATAAACAGTGGCGCTACAATCTTTTAAGGTTTGGGCTTAAGGTATTATTATTATTTCGTTATCATTTGTTTGTTCTAATAGGCAAGTAGGGGATCAGCTTTCGACGATGTTTACCTTCACCGTAAGAGCAAGTGGTAAAGCAGGGATCCTATGACCTCATGCGAGAAGAAGCCGCAGAAGCAACTAGACAAACTAGGTATGCTACTGTTGTACTAACAGAAGGGTTTACAATACCAAATATAATATCGTAAACTCAAGATAATCTACATATTATATAAAAATGAATTGCTGTTCGTTGGTCTCGCTAAAACTCGCGAATGGTTGGACTGATTTGGATAAGTATGGTCTATAAATATTCGCGGTAGTTCAATGAAGGTTCAAACAGTGGGTATCATAAATAGGTTAATAAAAGTAGCCTTCCGAAAATGGCGATTCATAGCTGTAGTATCAGGTCCGATCTCTTTGTTCTAATTTAAAAACGTTGAATTAAGTATAGACACAAATATATGTAGGTGACACGAAGTTCACCGGGTCATCTAGTCTACATTAAATATTTTATGTGAGAAGAGATCTAGTACTTCATTGGGTGCTCTTGGTGTTATTGCAAAACACGGTGGTGACTGGTCGTACTTGAATTCGTGTATGCGGTGATGTTAGTTATTTCGACTATATTGTGTTTGCGTGTTGTTCCCACGATAATGTAAGTGCGTGCTCCTATTTCACCATGCCTCCTGCTGATAGAGGACAAATCTTTGTTATTCATTTATTTTATTATTACTTATTACTTAAGATGTCATGTGAAACATGGTGTAATGGTAGCAGCTCCTTACGTTGTGTAAAACAAAAAACTTGGCGATTGAAAAGAGTGGAGGCGAGTTTATTGCCAGTTCTTCTCTTCCGTTCTACGTCCTTGATTTGAGAACTGGTAGTTAATGTAAAATTAGAAGCATTTAATGTTTATTTCTTTTTTGACGTTCATAAGTGTACATTGTGTTACCTAGTAATCTATATGAATAAATGATTTTTGTGTTTTGACACGCCATTTTGTCTCAAAAGCCAGACATAAGGGCGAGTAAAATTACAGTGGGTATATTTAAGTCAAATCTGAATTTATACTTGCTTCGATTTGACAAATATATTTTGGTAATGGCGCTTCTAAACGGGCCATGTTTTGCTGCAACACTGTGGCCCGGCAACATTCCAAACAATAGCAGCCACACTATGCAATATTGCAGTAACGTCCCGGCCATATAGCCAAACATGTTTTGTATAGCCATATATGGCCGATGTTGCCCCGATGGGTTGCCGGACGATCGCTAGGCTATCGAATTCAACTGCAATATTGCATAGCCAGTTCTATTGTTGTTTCAGTCACTCTCTTTGTTATGGCACAGTGTATCCTTTTCTACGCGACATGACGTTTGCTATGAGTGAAGTGTGCCTGTTGCTATATTCTGTGTTTTGCGATCAGCTGTATTGGACGTTAGATTACTACGTAAAAATGACTTCTTATGACACTCTAGTTCTTGAATAATTTATTATCAAGGCATATTTCTAGAATCAAATTGTCTACAGTTTCACGCCTATTTAAGTAAGGTCGAATCCACAATCTCTTCTTTTTCTGTTTATTTTTTAAAACAATATAAGCTGCTGCGACAAGTGTGATTTCGTCAGCCATTGGTTTGTGTAGCCCGTTTAGGAGTCTACATCATGGGCCATACTATTGCAGACATATTGCAACACATTGCCCAGCCATAGATTGTTCGGCCATCAGCTGCATTAAAATATTTTTCTAATGGCCGGGCAATTTGTTGCCAACAGTGCAGCCATCAATTGCAGCAAAACATGGCCCGTTTAGAAGCGCCATAACGTATTACTTACTGTTCCAAACATAATCAAAGTTCCTATTCAGATCAATGCCGTTACTCAAATCATCATCGGTTCCACAGGTGGTGGAGTAAAGTGTATTTCTATTTTTCCGCCACATGCGATTCTGGAATAGATTATAAATCCATGGAAACAAATATACATTCACTGATCACATACAAACTTATTCATAATCGTAGAGTCGTTATTATTTGCTTATCCTTAACAAGGCACAACATTATATACGTATAGCTATTTCAGGTTAATAGAACTTTTAAAGATTAGTTTTCACACAGAAGCAAATTGGGTTCGGTTCAAAGATTTATTTCTAGGTTAGGAGTGTACATCGTGTTACCAAATTATTTGAAAATGCTGTATAAAATAAAAAAGTTAATTTTTTAACATGGCTACACCTTATATTTCGTTATGAATATTAGTGTGATATCCGCCGCCATTAATGTAAGAAATCTGGCAACTTAATTTCTAAAACTCCCTGTAAACTGCCTGGTAACTCAAGCGAATCGAAAATCATAGCGTACACTTCATTGAAACTATCTATCATTATATTATATTACTAACGAAAAATCTAAACAATTTTTATACGAAAAAGTCCAACTTACATTTGTGAATGTATATGCATACCCATCTGGGTTGACCACAGGGAAAATATGCCATACGAAGGTTTCAGCCACGAATCTTACATCAGTGTTGTCACTTGTTAAAAACTCCTTTATAATTCCCGTTACAGTAGCTGGTGAGATCCACTCTCTTGCGTGGATACCGCCTTCAATCATTCCTATGAGAGGATTTTCTCTTTGTCCAGATTTATAATCTATTATGACTCCTTTTATTGCTCTACCTTCCGTTCCATTTCCAATAGTAACGGTGCTCACTATATTCGGATACATTGTCTCAAGTTCGTCAAGCCATGCATGAATTTTGTCTAGTGTATGGTATTCCGTCCAAGTTAAGGACCCCAGACTACTGCGTTGTGTGGTACTTGGTTTTAGTTGGTCGTTTATGAGGCTACAAAAACATTTATTGAAGTGAAACTTCTTTATCGAGGTTGGAAAAAAATTTAGTGTAACATTTTTTCGTTACGCGTCACATTTTTCGGTTACGCGCCATGTTGCTTTTTGAAGTCAAACTTCTTTATCGGCGTTGGAATGAAACTTCTTTATCGACGTATGGGAGAAATTTTGTAGCAAATCGTCACGTTTTTTCAATGATAGTAATAATTCTATTACAATTAATGAAATTCTATAATAATCTTCGTAGTAATAAGGTAAAATGAAATATTTGTATTCATGTCTATGATAATAAAAGCCTTTTGTTAAACTATCTAATTTAACGAATTTCTGTAAAGTTGCATATAGTAGATCATTTTTCGAAAAATAAGATCATAAAGAAGTTTCACTTCTTACGTGTGTACACCTAGTACACGCACAATTTATTTATTTTTTCAAATATATTTGTATAATTGACTAAAAATTATACGTAATTAAACAATAAAGCTTTTAATAAATTAAATGATCCTAATCCTTGGGATTGATATGCTCCAGTTCAAATTATTATGGCTGCCTTACAAACAATTTGTATTACTCAAAACTTGGCGATTAAAAACAGCGGCGTAGGTTCTTGCCAGTTCTTCTTGTCCGCTCTACGACCTTGACTTACGAACGTGTAGTAAATGTAAATTAAGAATCAATTTAGCATCTTTTCTTTTAACGTTCATAAGTGTACTTGGTTTATATGAATAAAGTTATTTTGAGTTTGAGTTATCGAAAATTAGTGTGTACCAAGAGTTAATTCATGAAATCGTCACATATTTTATTTGTTTAGGGTTATAAAACCGCATTACTTTTAGAATATGTCGTGAAAGGAAGGGCCGATTCGGTCGGGGCCGCGGTCCAGGGAAGGCTTGATGTGGCTTAATAAGTCAAGCTGTGTTAGGCTGTAATTTGGTCAGTTCATATAAGTACAAAGTCTGTTTAAATATGTAAGTAAAGTAACTGTTTGGCTGATTTTTATTTAAAATATAAAAATAAATCAGTGGCGCTACAACCTTTTTCGGTCTTGGCCTCAGATTTCTGAATCTGTTTCATGATCATTTTTAAATCTAAGAGGCAAGTAGGTGATCAGCCTCCAGTTGCTGACACACGACGTCGACTTTTTGGGTCTAAGACATATCGGTTTCCTCACGATGTTTTCCTTCACTGTTCGAGCAAATGTTAAATGCGCACATAGAAAGTTTGTGCACAGCCGGGGATCGAACCTAGGACCTCAGGTATGAGAGTCGCACGCTGAAGCCACTAGGCCAACACTGCTCTGATTTTTATATTAATATATTAAATAACTAAATATGAATCCCAATAAATTAAAAGGCCGGCAAGGCACTTGCGACTCTTTTGGCAATGAGTCCATTGGCGGTTTTATTACATAACATCAGGTGAGCCTCCTGCCCGTTTGCCTTATTACATAAAAAAATTACCCTCATGCGCCTAAAGACGTTTCACTTCAAAAAGTGCGGGCGTACAAAGTACACATGTCAGAAGTGAAACTTCTTTGGCAAACAAATTTTTAACTCTTGTTCATATTGATACGAATCTAAAGCTTTAGATTTCCGAGACTTGGAGGGAAAAGAGAAGATATGTTAGAAATTTAATGAATTTAATTGTCATTAAAATATTAAATTAACCTGTCGAAAATTAATAACAAAGTTTATAACATATTTTTTTATTTTTGTAATTTATTTCTTCTATAATTAAAAAACATGGTGAGATTTCAATAAATTTATTTTTTCTACGAAAAAAAGCATTTTAATTAAAATATAAAATACTAATATTTCATAAATTCTCTTAACGAAATTTTAATTTTAAAAATAGAATTTCTTTAAGGTAATTCATACTTCTCACTCTCTCTCAATCGGGCTCAGTTGCTCTCTCCCATTTCTTCGACAAAAACGCTGCCATCTATGTGACGTTTTTTTTAAATTTTACCCTCATGCGCCTAAAGAAGTTTCACTTAATATAGGAGTAGATATAAATATAGTATATTTACTTACGACTGCACGTTTGTTATAGCAACCGCTATGTCGAGTCCAACGCTTTTCATATAGTCAACAAAATCGTTTTCTTGACTTGGAGACACCATAATCCTTACATCCTTTTCAATCATCGGTACATCGGTCCATAAATCAAATCCACTTTTCTTCAAATCAGTTAAGATTTGCAGTTGCGTATCGGATTCTGGTATTACCTTATACACCTTATAGTTTTCATAACTTTTATAAGCCGAAGTTAATATTAACACATTTAAAATAAGCGAAATGGTAGCGTACATTGTAAGTGATCCGATGATGTCTGATAATATCAGTTGTAAAACAATATTAGGACAATAAATGGCTGATTATTATTTAAGATAATTTCATATCTTAAGTATGAGATATAATAATTCTCATTTATGTATACAGGGTGGCCAAAAAGTCGTGGATCAAACGCAAATAGGGGATAGATGAGGTCATCAGCTACAAAAAATTGTTCTACGGGAGGTCTCTAACCTCAACCCTGCAGAGTTATAATTTATTTTGCGTTAAGAAAATTGACTTAAAAAAAAAAAATTTTTTACTAATTCTTATTAAAATTCGAAAAATCTACACCCTGTATCTTTTTCACAATATCCACTAGATTGGTACTGATGAGTTCTTGCGTTAGATATACTATTTATAGTTGTTTATTGAGTGTATTGAAAATAACATTAAGTTATACGATATAGTTTTTTTTCAAATCAAAACTTTTTGTTTACTTCGGCCCCCACTGTGAAAAAAAATTAATTTACTGAAAAGTGACCCAGTATTACAACTTTTGGCGCAATTAATAAGGATTCTGAAAAGGTATTACACATGGCCATGAGTCGCTCTAATATCTTTATCTCTATGTTCTTTTTTAGACTTTTTGGCCACCCTGTATATAGTGTATTTAGCTATAAGTGTATAAAACTAGGTGAGATCTTTATTTTCGTAAAACTAGGATAAAGCAGCGCTGATATTTTGTGTATGCAATTTCGATATAGTTCAATATCCGTAGCGCTGATAGCAACCTTGGGAGTGAGCGATATACAATATCAACATGAAAGTCGGGGTTGCAACTGAGTGCCGAAGAAGAAAGAATGTAATACTTACAATGTTTATAAATAAGGTACCTCAGTGCGCAGGCCGAACATACAACGACCAATATTTAAGCCTTGACTTGTTTAATAGCGTAAAATCACCTGCATCATGAGTACACCCCACATACACACCTTCATGTACATACTCACTTTTACACCATCACACATCACAGCCAAATTAGGTATTACTTAATTAAATGTATTGAATAATTTTTATTGTTTTTTTCCCTTTTGAAAATGTTTGAAGGTAAATGTTATGTATTCCATCTATGGCTATATTTATAGTGTAATATTTTATACGTATACTAGCTGATCCGGCACACGTCGTAATATATTTATAATAAAAAATAGGGTGATCGGGGGTGAAAATTAGGGTTTTATGTATTGTAATTATATCAAAAAAAAAAAAAAAAAAAAAATTAGGGGTGGACTACCCTTAACATTTAGGGGGATGAAAAATAGATGTTGTCCGATTCTCAGACATACCCAATATGCACACAAAATTTCATGACAATCGGTCAAGCCGTTTCGAAGGAGTTTAACTACAAACACCGCGACACGAGAATTTTATATATTATATATAATTTTTGTTAGCTGTAGGATTACAAAATAAATTAATAACTTTAAATTATTATTTATATTATATATTAAATTATTTTTTATATATATAATATATATTAAATTATTATTATTTTATGTTAGTAGTCTAGTAGTAGTAGTAGCGAGTAGTATTTTCGGTGAGTAGAATCATGCTGTCAAACCATATATTTTTTAGAGCAAAAAAGAATTACACGTTTGAAAACGTCCTTCGAAGCTAAGTAAGTCTAGTCGAGCTGAGAAATGAAATCAAATACCTATTTTAAACCTCCTAGGTAGGAAGTTTACCCAATATTATGCTCCCTAGCCCCCCTCCCTATGCCCCCTATGGACACTCAAATTGGCACGGGAGTCATAGGCAAATTGGTTTTATCTTAAAGTGTCGAAGTAGTTATATCGTAAGTCCTCTTTACGATAACAATTGTTTATACGAGGTTATTAAACACAACAATATCGACAAAACAATTTATGTTACTTTTTATAATATTTACAATAGCAGGAATAACACAGCGGCCATCAAAACACTACTTATTTTTAAAATGTTCCCTGAACTAATGTGATAATAGCCCAACGCACGAGTGACTCTATCTATCTCAATAATAGAATCCATGAACTCTTCACAGTTTGGTCGAATGAACCTCGGTGGTAGGAGAAAACCGAACTCGCCAACATCACGCAACTCATACAAAAGAACAATTGGTACATTTGCACCGCCTTTGACCCAGTCGAATCCGGAACCTGTCACAGGATCTGTAACAAATTTTATATATGGCTAAAACCAAATACATAATGTACTGTAAAAGTAAACAATTGGAAGATAACAAAAGAAATAATATTTCGAAATTCCCTTTGAGGCCGCCACATGACAGAAGTAAAATTTTATTTAATATATTGTCAGGGTCGGATTTAGGAGAGGGAAACCGAGGCTATAGCTCTGAGGCCCCCACAGTAGGAAAAAAAAAATTCCTACTTATAAACACTAGTAAACAACTTATCTTATGATATTTTTTTTCGCTCTTTTACCTTTACCTTTGTACATGATTATTGTTCTTAAATATTATCAGAAATCATTGATCTGTATTTATATTTTAATATGTTTGTCACATAATTAAATAATCTACATTCACAATAAATTATTGATTGAAAAACTCGACTAAATTTTTTTTCATTTTATTTGGAAAATAATTTGGGTCCAGGGCGCCTCCACTCCTTTATTGCCCCGACGCGACGCCTACTGACTTCTAAATCCAGCCCTGTATATTCTGTTTATATTTTATATGGAATTAAAAAGCTTTAATCATTACTATATAAAATTAGATCTGTATTGGATTTGAGGGACATTTTTATATCAGGGAATAGTCGGATATTATTTCGAAATGGCGGAAATTTTAATTCTCAAGAACGAACTTCATATTTAAATAAATAAGGTCATAGTAAACAGTTTAGGTGTTTTGTTAAACTAGTGTTACCAATATTTTTTGTCATTTATTATTTTCTACTGTTCTTATGTTTTTGATACCTAAAACCAACAATTTATTTTATAGACATCGTAGAGAAATATTTTTTATATTTATTAGCAAAGCACAATATTTACAAGTTTATAGTACGTTAACGAATAAAGGTTCAGTTTTCTACAATAGCCATGAAAATAATAAATAGGAAATGACAATCGCTCCGACACGGCACGTCAAATGGCAATCACCGAATATTCGTTCACATTCCATTCATAATTAATCTCCCTATAAAAACAAGCATTAACTATCCATTAACGATGAATTAATCATACGCTTGTTAAACTATTACCTACGACGTAAATTAGGGAGTTAAAAGGCAAAGAAGGTTGTCAAGAGTAGTATAATCAAATATAATACACACGTTTTAAAAAATTCAAAAAAACAACGTGTGGCACTCGGGGATTGCCGGGGTAAAGCTATTGCATAGCATTTTTTATCAACTTATGCAGTTATAATTATTTATTTATGCAGTATTTTTTTTTTCTTTGATATTGTTTCAATCTACCACTCTACCAGACTCAGACTAACACGCCTATATAGTCTGTCTCCCTCTAACGCGTACCGGCTGCACCGGCCGCGCTTACGCTACGTCACCGATCTCCTCAGAGAGATAAGAATGCGCAGTATGCGTTCTGACCCACTCTAACGTGTATTTGCCGCACCTATATTACATCGTCGTGTGTTCGGTTTTTTTCGTTACGGAATTTCTTGATTCGGTCGCCGCGCTCAAAGCCCGCAATAAAATCTATGCAATAGCTTAAAACATCCAATAATCGATTCCACTTAAGCAATAACACCAAAGTTTTATATATTTGTCAGATATAATGTAATTAGAGAACACTATGTCATTTGTTTTATTAGCATGGCAACACTACGCAATATCAAATACATCTTACAGGTTGTAAATTGTCAATGTCATTTTGTCAATTTGACACTAGTGCGTTGGATTGATCGTAGACAATGACTTATTTGAAAAAAAAAACAAAAGTCGGACGTCGATAGTGATAACTGACTAATATTAATCGCTTCGAATCTGTGACATACAAATATAGTCACAGATTCGAAGCGATAATTTTGAAGAAAACTAAATTAAAGACTTTTTTGGAATAAAAATAGCCGATGTTACATTATTGCCTTCTAGTTTCTTATTGGCACTTAATTACTACACCTTAATTTTCTAATGAATACATCTTCTCGGTCGCATGACAAAATACATACTGGTGTTAAATATATATAAAATACTTACACAAAATATCCAAAGAGGTTCCAACTCGATACGTCGTATTATGCCTTGCTTGAAGCTTTTCAGCTCCCTTTGATGCAATCTCAAACTGTAATGTGTAATAAAAAAGTAATTTATTTGCTAAATTGCAATAAATACATTATTTTTTATCAAATTTAAAAGCCGTGTCTTTTGTTAATATTCTACTTGTTTTTAAAGTAAATAGTGAATCAGTACTGTATGTCCAGTGATCATCATTTCTTAATAATTACAGGAAACCTAAAATCTAAAACGATAGATATGTGTTTAAGTTTGTACTGTACCCACGATCTCAGTTTGCCTCAAACTTAAACTCAAAATAACTTTATTCATATAGGTAACCAAGTACACTTCTGAACGTCAACAGGAAGTATGTTCAATTGATCCTCAATTTACATTTACTACCAGTCCGCAAGGTAAGAGCGTAGAGCGGGCAAGAAGAACTGGCATGAAACTCTCCGCCACTCTTTTTGATCGCCAATCCCAATTATTAGGATCATTTAAATAATTCTCAAATATTTATTGATTAATTTACGTTTAACGAGAACTTTGAATTTATTCAGTGATATTTCTCTTATTTCGCTTGGAAGTTTGTTGTAAAAACGAATACAATTTCTATTTCCTATGACAACTGTACTTAGTAAAAAGTAATTAAAATGCTCATATTACATTTTCTCTGTGTTGTATTTTTATGTCATCTAAGCGCTGGGCGTGAATGATCCAGTTTCTCTAGTCTTGTCAATTGTTTCAATTGGTAAACTGATCTATGTTTAAAGACTGCTCTATAGAGCAGTGTTGGCTTTATCGTACGATCCCTGAGGTTTGTAGGTTCAAACCCTGGCTGTGCAGCAATGGACTTTTTTTCTATGTGCGCATTTAACACCCGCTTATACGGTGAAGGAAAAGATCGTGAAGAAACCGGCTTGCCTTAGACCCAAGAAAGAAGTCGGTGTGTGTCGGGCAGAGGAGGCTGATCACTTACTTGCCTGATATAGATTGAAAAATGATCATGAAACAGATATAGAAATCTGAGGCCTAGACCTAAAGAGGTTGTAGCGCTACTGATTTTTTTATACCAATCTATAATTACAGCGATATCGAAATGTGTGTCGTATAAAACTCTGCAGATTTCTTATTTAATATGTTTTTTCAAAACGTCAATTAAGGGCATGCATAGTTTAAAGATAAGACTTACCATATCACCGTAATTCGGTACACTCAGCACGCCAGCACCGCCAACATCACTGTAGGGTACCAATAACATTTGCGAGTACGAATGTAGCGAGAAATAATACACCATGTTGCCTTTGTTTTGTAATCCTTTCACATAGTTCACTATAGCCATTGTTTCTGGCTCCGAAAACGCTATTGGACCAGCGTAGGTTATGTCACATGGATCGTCTGATGCTCCAATTGCTAAAAAAATATTTATTCAATTTTATACTATGACTCAAATCCTAAATACTTTCCTATGAATGTGTCTTATTCATAATATTGTCTTTCGATTACACATTAAAAATACACTTATTTTCGAGTATTTTTTACAAAAGTCTTTTCAAATATTAATGCCTAGAAATTGTCATATTAAATCGGAAGACTGTTGAAGCATATGGATTAAGGGAGAAAGTACTTTATAAACAAAATTAGTTATTTTTATATTTATTACTTCAATTTTACTCCTTATTCCAAAGCTATAAACTGTATCATAAGAGAGCGTACATGCTCTATTTTCATCTCAGGAATCAGGGGATCCATGATCACTCAAAATCAGGGAAACTATTATATTTTAACTATTGATGTCATCACCGATAGAAACTCAAACTACCAGAAGAATCATTCTCACTACCATTCAAAGCCGAATTTACGCTATTTGTGAAGAAAACCAAAAACGCAACTATTAAGATATGTGATATCAAATCTCTGGTATTTTGGTAGTAATTTGTAAAAATGGAACGTGTTTTTGGATGGTGCTATGATAAGCATTGATATAAGTATCTTATCGCGATAACATACTTCATATATTAACTACATAGCATTTAATAGTATGTATATAAAAATGTCAACCAAACTACAACATTTACTGTCACATTGGTTGCCAATATATTCGGGATTGCCTCTGCCGCATTTATCCAGAAAAGCAGACGCAGTGAGGAAGTTCTGTTCTCTAGTCGTACAAATAAGGAACGATAGACGGAACGGCTCGTGAGAATCACGGACCATCAACCAGATAATGAAGTGCGTAGCATCTGATCGCAGATACACATCTGATATTATATCTTGAGTGTAAGAGTATCTTGAGTATAAAAGCAATAAATTAATGGTGCATGTAAGTTGTCAGCGCTTGATCTCTGGACACTCATGTCAGATATTCGTACATACGACTCCAAGGTTATAGACTAGAGAGTGCTATGTATCTGCGCACATCCTTCCACGAGGAAGGCCTGTATCAATAGAGATAACCCTCCACCGGCCGCCATGATCTTCATTGGCTTATGGACCAAGGACTTTTTATTTACTACAGATACTTACTATTCCACCTAAATCCAAAGTTTCTATTTAAATCCACGCCATTACTAAGATCATCATCGACATTTCTGTGCGTACAGTTTGTGAATAATGACTTATTGCGGTTCTTTCTCCACATTCTATTCTGCAATAAAAATACTATTTGAGCCATAATTCTACACTGCGTTGCACTTATGTACATGTGTATATGTGTATAGTCTTTTGATAAAAAAATAGACTTTTTAACATTTAGGATTTGGGCTCCATTGCCGACGCAATAATTTTTTCGGGCTTAGAAGAACTTGTCTTAACAATGTAAATTGAACCAATATCAGAAATGTGGTTACTCAAGGGTTATAGTATTAAAATCAGTGATCACAAAATTTCCATTGTTCGATTAGACATTATCGTTATGAATTAACCATTCAGTCATATGGAATATCTTACTCGTAATAGCATAGCAGTTACGTTGCAATAAATTTTGATTATATACTTACATTGGTAAAGGTATAAACATAGCCATCTGGATTTGTAACAGGGAAGATATGCCATTCGACATTTTCAGCCAATTCTCTGACCGCAGGGTCTGTACTAGTTAGAAGTTCATTTATCATCCATGTCGCAGTAGGGGGAGTAATCCACTCTCTAGCATGTAGCGCTGATTCGATCATACCAATCACGGGTGTTTCTCGATTTTTGAAGGCGATTTTCATACCCCTTATTTGTCTCCCTTCATTACTCGTTCCTGCCGTAACTATTTCTGCTACATCCGGGTATTTGGCGACTGTATCTTCCATCCATTTCTCGATCTCCTCCCAGGATTGGTAGAAGTCCCAGTTGTATTCCTGAGTATTTCTTGTTACGGGACGTTTTATTTGCTCTTCCATCAAACTGTGAAGTTTTATTAAGTTGTTACTAAGAACTTGGCAAGTAGAAATAGTAATCTGATTCGAGTGGTTTTATTTTTACAGTTTTGTACAACGAAATGTGTAAGTCTGCGTAAAATTGTTATACTCAAATTCGACGGTACAAGGTATGAGGGAATCTTTTCATTATCCAGAACTATCAGTTTCATGCCTTCGATTAATAATACGACACCGCACACATTCATTAATTGTTACCCTTATACATAAACAGTTCTTACCTTTGCACATCATTCACAATTAAATCACCTTTAACTCCCATTTCAGATAGATATTTTTCAAACATATTTTGTTTTGTTGGATCAACCATTATCTTAGCTTCGACATCTTGTTTCACATAATTAAGCCAAAACATATATTCATTTTGATCTTTTAATTCAGTCAATACTTTTACTTCACGATCATTCCTTGGTGTGACTTTATAAACTTTATAATTTTCATAACTAATACCAGCGTTTACTGTTGCAATTGCTGCCGCTAAGAATAATATTTTTAATATCATTTTGTCGACTACCTCGAACAACTACTCCTAAATAACTTAACAATTAGACTTTTTATCTTTTATTATCAATACTAATCAGTTGATTTATACAATTGGGAATATTTTACAGTGATACCTACTAGAATTGCGTAATCAATATAATGTTTTAAATTTAATTTAAATAATTTAATAAAATTTAATTTTCAATCCTCCCATTGACCACGACTGCTGGGAAGTATGATTCAAGTCAGGTAAATAATACAACAAATACTAGATAATAAGTTTTATAAAAATATAAACCCCCTTTTTATACATATACCAATACACAGACAATTATTAAACTTAAGGAGGAAACAAATGAACTTGCTCCCGAGTAATATCCTAGTCGCCTTGTTACTTTATCCATTTCAATTAAGCTGTCCACAATTTCCAAACTATTGGGAATAATTTGTGAGGCGGGTAAAAGGAAACCGAAATCACCCGTGTCTCGCAGTTCGATAAGGTAGCTAACTGAAACACCAGTCTCTTGTTTCACCCAGTCGAAGCTGCTTCCACTCATTACATCTGAAATTTAAGACAAATCTAAAATATCGACGTTAAATTTATTGAGCAAAGCAATTATTAAAGCAAATTTGTTAGAAATATGTTAAGATTTAAATTCAAAGTCAAAATCATTTATTCATTTAGGTAACACAATGTACACTTATGAACGTCAATAAAGAAATACATATTAAATGATTCTAATTTTACATTTACTGCCTCTGAAATCAAGGGCGTAGAACGCCACTCTTTTTAATCGCCAAGGTTTTTTTTACAAAATGCAACTATTACATCAATGTTGCACATGTAATAATTAAGTAATTAACTACAGTTACATTCTCGATTAACACATTGTTACAATTAAATCAAATAAGACAACAAACATTATTAAGCTAAGCACTAAGTTCTGTACGCGTTTTAATTCCAATATAATAATAATAAATATATTATATATATATATATATATTAATTTGTTTTCTGTTCGGTCGAATTCCTCTAACACTGCATAGCTCACCGCGGTACTGCGTTAGGATTTTACAAAATTAATTGTCTTGTCAGCTTTTGTGTAGTAAAAAAATGACATCAGATGAGCCTCCGCCCGTTTTCCCATTCTATAAAAAAAGAATCTCTCTCATATTAATTTTATAGGTACTAAATTAATGTGAATCTTACATAATACATCTGCTGCAATTCCAACTCTGTAGACTGTACCATAACGCTCTTTAGCCTTCGCCGCTCCTCTAGCCGCTATTTCAAACTAAAAAGTTAATAATAAAATCATGTTAACAAAGTTTTCGTCTACTAAGTCCGCGGTGTATAGTTAATTTGAATTTGAATTTTATTTAGGATAATTGTCTTCACAATAGCGAACCTCCTATGTATTTGTAATATAAAGAATAAGTATTAACGCCACCGGTACAGATAAGTGAGGTTAGAAGTGTTTTATTTAATACGTCAAATCCTAATCAAACCGAACAATTCTAGGAGCACACAATATGCGATCATTAAATCTGTAGTTGGCTGACACTAAGACATAAATACCGATGCTATCAAAAATTTAAAAAAAAATATTATCTATAATACCGAACCGAAATTGCAAAATATTTTAGTTTTTCCTTGACTTATACATGTATACAATCCCTAACTGAAAATTCAGGCTTCTAATTTTATTCACAACGAAGTTAGGAAAATGGTCTAAACTTCGAGAAAAGCAAGAAGCGGCACGCTTTTTTCCTTCACTTCGCGGGCAGTGGTGCCCCAGATTTCGTAGTAAAAGTACGGTCCGTTATGTACCGTATCTTGTAGGTAGTGCTTGAATTATGACTTTATTAATTGCGGCTATACAATATATTTTATAAGATAAAACCAAACCCCCTGTAATGATAAAGGTATATGTTAGTCAGTCATAAAGGACTGACATTTAGAATACAGAGCTTTTTTCACACATTGTACAAGCAACACAAAAAGCCTATGCCTCGCGGATGTTTTTTTTGCTTATTTATGCAATATTAGTGTAACTAGTTAATAAACTCTTAATTACCATGTCAGCATAATTATCGGCTTGCAACACATCAGCACTTGTCCCATTACTGTAGGGTACTATTATAACCTGTGTGTAGGAATGAAAGGAGTAGTAGTAAATGAACTTCCCTTGATCTTTGATACTCCGAACATAATTTTCTATAGCCTGAGTTTCTGGTTCTGACGCCGCGGCAGAACCCGCAAACGTATTTGAACAAGGATCACTTGAGAATCCCACGGCTGGAATAAAAAAAAACTAAACTTAAATCCTTCTACCTATGGGAAGGTAGTATTTGTATAAATATGTGTTTTTAATACTTTCTATATTACAATATTTTTATAACATCTAAGGCGCGTTTTACAATTTCCAAATGTAATCAGAATTTTATTCAATTGAATAATAATACTAGATGCCTCTTCTACCACTAATCGATCTGTTAGACAGCCTTCTGTATGCTTTAAACGAAACCTTTTTCTCCGGTACCGACGGCTATCAAAAAAAGTGCGTGCGTACAAAGTACACAATATGTCAAAAGTGAAACTCCTTTAGCAAACTAATTTTTAACTCTTGTTCACATTTATACAAATCTAAAACTTTAGATTTCCGAGACTTAGAGGGAAGGATTTAATTGTCATTAAAATGTCGAAATTTAATACAAATTATAATTTTTTTTAAATTTATTTCTTTGATAATAAAAACACGTGGCAGTTTAATTTACAATTCGTCATTTGAGATTTCATTAAATTATTTTTTTATATAAAATACTAATATTTCATAAATTCTCTACGAAATTTTAATTTTAAAAATAGAATTTCTATAAGGTAATTTGCCCTGATTATTATAATTGCGTTACATCGGTAAAAAAATGTACCCTCATGCGCCTAATGAAGTTTCACTTCAACAATAGTCAAGATGTCTATTTAAGTATTTAGTAATAAAAACATCTCACTTCTCCAAGCAAAGTCGAAATTCCTGTTAAGATCAATTCCATTGCTCATGTCGTCTGACACAGCACCGCATGATGTGAAATTACGAGTATTACGATTTTTTCTCCACATTCTGTTCTGTAAAAATTAATAAAATATACTTAATGTTCAAGAAAGGGTCAGCATGTATTTTTACCAAACAGATACTTGGTTATGTTTATCGCAGATAAAGAGAATAAAATTCACAATTGTATTGTATATGTACTAGCAAACCTGATAGACGTCCTGTATACTCGTTTTAAATACAAAAAAAAACGTCTAATTTTGAAAACTTTAAACCATTCTCTTAACCCTCAAAAGAAGAAGATTTATTCATATCTGTTCTACATGAATAAAGAAGTTTAGATATCAAGAGAAGTTAAAAACAAAGTAGATATAACTGGATTTTTATATACGAGTATACAGCTATAGCATAACTATTTACATCCATAGCCAGCTATGTCAATATAGCACATGATTTAATAATTTTATTAAATATACATAATATGTGTTTAAAAGTCCAGTTATATATACTTTGTTTTAATTCGTATTCATATCCACAAAAAAAGGTTAATATAAATATGTTATTACCTACTCGCGTTAATTTATAAAATTAAATATTTTTATATACTTACAGTAGTAAATGTGTATACATATCCATCAGGATTGACCACTGGAAATATATGCCATTCTATATTCTCAGCCATACTCCTTATTACGGGATCTGTGCTTGTCAAAAGTTCTTTAATAATCCAATTTACTACGGCTGTCGAAATCCATTCTCTCGCATGCAAAGTCCCTTCTAACATACCAATAAGTTTTTCTTCTCTATCAGGCTTATAATTGATAACGATTCCTCTTATTTCCCTATTTTCAAATGATGTACCCATTGTAACATTTCTTACGATTCCTGGATAGTTAATCACTAACTCATCCAGCCATTTATTAATATCATCCAAATTATGGTAACGATCCCAAGTCATAGAAAGTAAAGAGGTATTCGCTGAATTCCGAGATATTACATCTGGCAATAGTTGATTATCTATTATCCTGTAAATCATAAAACAATTTATAAAATTCATGAAATTAAAATTTTCTTCGCCACCGTCATAAAGTGTTTCTTCCTCTTTTAGAGTATCATGGGCCTATTAGTAATTATTAAATACAATAAACACTTGGTCATACGGTGAAGGATTGTGAGCAAATGAAAATATCTTATCCCGGTACTCGACGACGTGTGTCGTAGTATAGATGGATGATCACCTACTGGCCTATGAATAAAATTATCTATAAAAAACTTGACTTGAGATACATCTATTACGTACTATCTTAATTTTGCATCAATTAAGCTATTGCATAGCTTTTATCGCAGGCTTTGAGCGCGGCGACCGAATCAAGAAATTCCGTAACGAAAATAAAAACCTAACACACTATGACGTAATATAGGTGCGGCCACGGGTAATAATACGGATTAGAGCGGGACAGACCGCATACTGCGTATTCACATCTCTCTGACGAGATCGGTGACGTAGCGTAAGCGCGGCCAGTGCAGCCGATGAAGGATTTGGATCTAAAGTTTTGTGTCCATTTTGTTCAAAAAAATATAACGTACAAGATAATCGTCAAAGTGCTAAGAAAAACCTACAAAAGGCTGAAAAAATGCTGAAATTGAGTGAAAAGAAGTTTGCTCCGGTACCTATTGGCACTTCTGTACGAATTGCTGTTCCAGAGGTTGACAGAGGACGTGGTGATGCCCGAAATATTATAGTTGTAGTTTTGGCTAAAACCGATGATGAGCTTTATCAATAATTTATTGAATTATTATATATATTTTGCGATATGACTGTTACCTGAACGATGTTGTCTCAACGAGTGCTAATAAAAATTATTATTCTCATTTTAACAACGTGTTTTATAACAGAAAGCATTATTTTTATACATTTCCTAATACGATATTGGAATTACATACAATGAATATATACATACAGGAAATGTGCACAATTCCTAGGACATTTATGTATTAAATAGTTTTCGAAACAATATTTTATACATTTCCTAAATAGCTTCGGAATTATATAAATTTCCTAGGATTTGTATACAATTCCTAGATTTCATACATTTCCGGTAACATATATATAAATTAAAGAAAAGGTGTTCTACATACCTTTGCATATCGCTTATCAATTCTTGAGCGTCTATCTTTTCTTCTTTTATATTTTCTAGGAAAAGTTGTACATTTTCCGGTGGGACCATAACTCTTGCTTCATAGTTAACATGAACTTGGTCTTCCCACAACTCACCAATGCCATTGTTTTGTAATTTCTTTATAAATTCTACATCATTTTCAGTTTTTGGATTTATCTTATAGACTTTGTATCCTTCAAATGTCTGCTTTTGAGTTAAAACCTCTAAAAATCCTACAAATAAAAACAATAAAAGGATCTTCATGGTTAACGCTTTGCTCAGTAATTATTACTATAATTAAAAGTCTACAATGGTATCAGTTGATAATTATTATCGAACATAGCTTATCAACGATTTATATTAGTATTGATAAAGTATTTTTTGATAATAACTCAGTTTGAATTCTGCAAGAGGATGATATTTAGTTGTTTTTTAATTTTATTTTTAGTTTTAATTGTAAACAGTTTTGTTTTATTTAGTGTGGCACTTCAAGATTGTTAAATTTGTATTTCTTTATTAGTACTTTATTTTTAGTGAAATAAATGATTTTTCTTCCTTTCTTTCAAGTCTATAAGTAAATATGCTTTAAAGAATTTCGCACCCAATTATACCTTTCACGTTTTCGTAATAATCGTAAAATTTATTATCCATTAATTTTCACCAAATTACGCGTCAATTTCTAAGCGAAGTTATTAATATAGACTTCATAATGGAGCTATCAAAAGTAAATCATTTTCATGAACAATGCTTCTAATGTATAGACGCCTAGTTGATTAGCAGACGATAAAGGCCTTTCAGACAAATGTCACAAACATATTTATACGTATACTACCGCTGACCCGTCAAACGTTGTTTTGCCATGTATATTATTTCTAGGAAACAGTTTTTTTGTTCAATAAAAATACCATCTACTATAATAAAAATAGGGATTGATCGTAGAGGGGTGAAAATTAGGGGTAGTATGTATTTTTTTGTATGCTGTATCATAAAAAAATAAAAACAAAAAACATTGTCTAAAAATTAAAAAACAAATTTTGGTGTGGACCCCTTATCACTTAGGGGTTTAAAAGATAGATAGTAGCCGATTCTCAGACTTACTGAATATGCATAAAAAAATTCATAAGAATCAGTCGAGCCGTTTCGGAGGAGTATGGGAACGAACATTGTGACACGAGAATTTTACATATTAGATTTAATTTATATCTTATATTATTAATTTATCCTTTGTTTTCTTATTTGGAATACAGTTTAAGAAACGAAAAAGCCTTTATTTCCTATTGTTCTAATAGTGCCATCTCCTTGCGATGGTTGACAATCATCATGGCTAGTTTAATTTTGGATGCCGCGCTTCTAAACAATGACTTGGTGCTTTGACCAAACCTTTGTCTTAGATTTTTCAACCTCCAAGTCTCCTTATCCTGCCACTTTGCCTTGTATGATTCGTTGAAGGAGCTCGTATTTTTCGGTGTTACGTAAAAAAAATTTTCTATTGAATCAAATCAATTATCACAAAATAATAATTTAGTAACCATTAAAATGAAATTACTATAGATCTAGAAGTTATTGACTTATGATTCCTTAAATTAGTCGTTAACAAATCAATCCGTAACAAAGTATTTACAATCGACTTTAGGTAAATTAAAATTTATCAAAGGGATAATTTTAATGACGACTCTGAGTACCTCATTATTCTTCTGGACGTCATGTTTATATGATAGACTAAAAAACAGGGCATCAGGTCTCAATTATTGAATCTACATGAACATACTTCATCTATTGCAGCAGTTAACTATGCATCACAGAAAGCCGCTTAAACTGATTTCGAGACTCCTTTCATTAGTATTGATTCTAAGAAGGCCCTAAACAGTTTTAAGCTTCTTCTCGGGTAGAGAAAGCCTTATGAAGCTTTTAACGAAACAATTTACGATCAGCGCTTAATCGGGAGTTCATTGTTAACTCAATATAATAGAACCATTGTCTTTACACCGTGTAGGACATTGAGTTGTGCCTACTCTTATAGGTATGAAGCTTTGAGGAATGGAGGAACAAAGTTCTGCGTACCTTTTTTAAATTGTAGATACGTCTTGTCGGATGTGGATTTTCAACACATGCCGGTTTCCTATCGATGATTTTAAATTGTCTTACGACTTATAAATTGTCGTTTATCGTCCACCGTATAAAAAAACAATTCTTTGCATTCTCGCTTTACTGTATGTTTTAAAGTTATTTATGTATAGTTAACGTTAAGATGCTCTTAAATATTATTATATAATTATTCATATAAAATTATAAACACTAATGCAATAAACTATTTATCCAAAAACAAAACTGAATTTCCAACATCTCTTGTACAAAAGTTAATTAGTAATTGTACAAAAATGAATGCAAATATTAAAGAACCTTTAATGTCATATCTTAAAAGTACACTTAACTTTTACGAGTGCTCTCTGATCTCCATATTTTTGCAATCATAAAAAGATACCTGACCTGTTAAACGAATATTCCTACTAAGGAAAGATTAGATTTTATAACAAAAAAATAAACTCGGCAACGGTGTCATACATGAAATAAATAAATACCATGTTCCATTGTATCAAAAATAAATTGAAAAAATAGTTATCAACAGTACAGAATTAATATTTTTTGAATTTTCTTAAAATAATTTCTTAATACGTTTTTGTCGTACAGATAATATATCGTTGGTCATTTTTTATTAGTTTGCAAATACGTTTAATTAAAATACAACCTCCTAATTACTACCTCCACTAATTAATATATTTTCGAATTTCCTTCGAGAACTCACAGTAAAAGCTCAGGTGAGGCTTTAAGGCTATTATGAGGCTACACTCCATTTTATGACGTCATTGTTGTCTGACGTCATTACCCTCAGTTAAGATGGCGGCTTTAAGGACGCAAAAAATGAATCATTTATGTTTGTAAATAGGAGTTTTGTAGCCTCAGGCCGTTATTTGTATAAATATCTTGTTAAACTGGTTATTTGTCTGAAGCGCCTTAATGAAAGCAATATTTTGGGATTTTTTCATTTCCTTTTTACATTTTATGGTGAATTTTCACGTGACTGTTGTAATTGAAATAATAATTGTGTAGTAAAAGTAATCTTTTGTACAAGAAATGTTTTAGTTTTTAAAAATATTTTCTAACTCTATGGGGTTTTGAGATTTATTTTGTAAATCATATACTTCAATTCATTAAAAAAATATTATTACATAAATACATCAATGTATTTTATTCATAATTATTTGATAAAAAACCTGTCTAGTTTTTTCAATAACAGACTGCGCAAGATTGGTGGCAGTGGGGTCTAGGGAAGCCGGTCAATGGCTTAATAAAGGCATAAAAAGTGGCGGAGAGTTTATTGGCAGTTCTTCTCTACCGTACTACGCCCTTGATTTGAGAACTGGCAGTAAATGTAAAATCAGAAGCATTTAATGGATATTTCTTTTTTTGACGTTCATAAGTTTACGTTACCTATATGAATAAATGATTTTGACTTTTGACTTTTAAGCTTATCCTTCGCCAAACACTGGCACCTTTAGGACACTGAATGACATCGCATTGCCATTTGCCGCTAATTAAGTTGGCGCCTGGTTGATAGTACCGGTGACCCCAGAGCTGGTGGGTTTTCTCGCTCAACCAATAACTTTCGCAATACAGGGAGAAATGCTGCCAACGTTGAAGGTATACTGCCACAGGACCAAACTTTTTAAATTTGTTTTAATTTTCTATTTATTAATTTTTAATAATAATGATTATTATTACTATATAGGTTTAGAAAATTGTTAATACCATTTAAAACAATTATATTACATTAATGAAACCTTCGGTTTGAAACACTGGTTTGTAAAAAAAGTTATCAGCAGAACCGATTCAGACTGTCCTTTGCCCCGCCGGGGGGCTCGCTTCATCACATACATAAAATGTTCCCATTATGCCTTTACAAACATTACATAACAGATTTAAAACAAAGATTATAGAGGCAAAACCAATAAATTCACCTTTACATCGGTGTGGTGGAATGCGTTTAATATTTTGCCTTTTCGCAGCACCGCGGGTGTAGGCATTTTGTCTTTAATAGTGATGTACGAGTGTCGATAACTTTATGTATGCGCTCATATTATTTTATTTATGCTCTCAAACATCACACATGTTGAATGAAATACGTAAAAATTACATGAGAACTTAGAAGGCGCAACGCTAACCAGATGCATGCAACTTCCTCACGATCGAGTAGCCCGCAATATCGCAGCACACAACTCAGGGACCGTAGATGTGTTTTTGTATCGAAGCAGTTGCAATTTAATAAGTCGTTTTTAAACGTGGGCTAAAAATATTTTTCTTGGAAAGTCTTGTATAATGTGGTAACAAACACTGCACTATACCATCTACCACTACCACTATACCGTCTAAAGAGAAATATTAATATAATTGAATTTAAAACAGAATTTATTTCTTTAAAAACATCGACACTATTGTGGCACATCACTAATACGCGATAAGAAAGCAGACGGCGAAACAAAAGCGCTATCGACGCGGATTTCAACAATATCCGCGCTGCGCGTAAATCACGCACGTCCGCCATACTGTTTATTCTCAACGTGCTATATTGTCGATACGTTTGCTCTTTTTTCGAAACGATATCATCGATAACGTACACCGCACTGTTTGACACCTGTTTTCCATTTGTTTCGGTTTTGTAAAAATTAATTTTCATACAATTTTGAGTCCCCTGAAAATTATGCTTATTTTATTTGTATAAAAATCGCTGTACCGTACTCGTAATAATTACTTTTTAATTAAAATAACATACGCATTTAACTACTTGCTATACCTACATAGAAACTTACTAATTAAAATATATAAATAAAATTTGAAATTCTTTTGTTAAAAATTCATATATCGAATATTGAATGGCTTGTAGACCAATATTAATTCCGTACCCCGTGTACCATAGATCACAATTTATTATAGAAACTATAATTATAGTTTCTATACCAAATTCTATTTGTGCACGGCGTTTTAACACTCGACCTCAATCTTAAGCCTGGAGCTTAGTCTATCCATTTCTGTTTGCATGAATCGTATTTTTTCCAATTTCGTGTTATTCTTTGTCCTATATCTTTTTTTTTTAGACAATTCACACCAATTGACCTAGTCCCATGCTAAACTGGTGAAGCTTGTGTTATGGGTACTAGGCAACGGATATACATACATATTATAGATAGATAGACATATAAATACATATT